GGCGGTTCGGCCGCCCCGCTTCCACGAGGTGGCACTGCCGCCAAATGGCTCAACCGCTTTCCTACCAGCTGAAGTGAAAACCGGTGTTTCCAATCGATTCCACCGCATAAAACTGAACCCAGGCAGATGCGGTTCGGCTCTGGAGATCCATAGCCTGTAAAGTCTCCCAAGATGTTTTCTTCGTAGCAGATGCCGAAATAAAATCAAGGCAACGTGAAGGTTTAGAGACACAGGTTACTACACCAGGAAGGTCCCAGCAGAGATCAACATTTTCTTTTTCTGTTCCTGCTCTTAATTCCATGTACAGCGTTGCACTGTCCACTGCAGTGCACCTGGCAAAGTCCTGCTCTGCCAATGTTTTCTCTGGCTTTAGCTACCACCGTTGCCCCTGCCCTTTGTGCTCCTTTTTGCAGATTCAGCACCCCTAGAAACACTGACATGTAAATCAGCAGTTTACAGCTCTCCCTTCCGAAATCAGATTGGCACACGTGGTAAAAGTCTCGTGAACACAACTCTGAGGAAAGACTTCGGTCCCATCACTAAGCTTAAAAAAAAAAAGAGATGGAGGTAAAGTCATAAAATAGAAGGAAAAAATACTGTCCTGGTTTGAGTGAGCAGTGGGGGCTTTTAGTATCAGGGAGGGGGCTACAGCTGTGGCCCCCTGTGAGAAGCTTCTCGAAGCTCCCACTGCTGCACCAAGGTCCGGCCAATTAGCTGCGCCTCTGCGATAACGGATTTAAAAAGGGGAACCTGGGAGGAGGAGAAGGAGTTATGAAGAGAAGTTGTGAGAACACCTGTGTGGACACCGAGGTCAGTGGAAGGAGGGAGGAGGAAGGGCGGGAGCTGCGTCAGAGCAGAGACTCCCCTGTACCCCGTTGTTATGGATTAATCATAATTTAAAATGAAATCACCACCTTCAAATTTGTTTTAGTGGTCAGTAAAATTTATTAGCAAGTGAAAGTGAGCAAAACAGCGCTGGGTGTGCCGAGGAGTCTTTGCTCCGCCAAGACACACACCTTACATCCCGAAACGGAGTCCTTTTAAAGTGCAGCCTTCAGGAATATTCATGAGGGTGGGGGTGCTCCCTGAGGGGTTTGCAAGTCGTCAACAACTTTTCGCCGGCTTTTCTTTCCCGGGCTTTTTGTTGCCAGGGAAGGTTCTCCGACTTTCCACCGTGGGGCAGGAGGGGGATGGCTCAGCACAGGTGTGCATGTATCCATAGTCCAGACAGGTCTGGACGTAACACCATTTGGCCTGAGGACGGCGGCCATTTTAACTCCCTTTTAACAACTGATTTTAACCATAAAAAAACCTATATACATAACGCCTTATCTCTTTTTAAACCTTAGGTTACATGTAAAGTGCAAAAAC